GTGTTTTTAGTATTGTTTACTATGAATGTGGACACAATATCTTCACTCTCGTTTGTTTTCATATATAGCTTGTACATGCCTTTATTCATTGCATTCCATTGATAGCATTGATGTACTGGTTTAAGGACTTCATATCAGTGAGTTGCTTGTATTTAGGTATTTTCAAGATAGTTTTGATGGAACAGTGGTCACTTGCCTGGTGTAGTTGTTCAACTTTAAAATGAAGGATATTCTGTAGTAGTGTTTCACTTGTGATTGCATAGTCCGCTGTGCTGGCACCATGATAACCGTAGCATGTCAGTTGACCTGACCAATCTCCTGAAGTCCGCCCATTTAATATCCGTAGACGATTTTCTTTACATAGTTGTGTTAGTTTCTCTCCAAATTCATTCTCCCATGTATCAGTGTTTCTCCATTTTTGACTATTTTATCATATGTATATGTGTCTGGTAATGGCATGTTTATGTGAAGGTTGCCTTGTTCATCTTGAATTGTCTTCAAGGTCTTTAGTTCTAGCATTAAAGACCCCTTGTATACTGACATGTCCTTTGAGGCTATATTGTTGGATTTATTTGTTTTATTTCTTCATATGGATTGCAGTCATTGTAGAAACTGGAATTTTTTGGTGTAATGTATATGGTACCTATGTAGATGTCCATTTTAAGGTTGAAGAAGTATTGACATTTGACAGCAAATAGAGAAATTGCTAGACTTTGACATGATCTTGACTCCACTTTTGATACTATTCCTGATGAAAATACTGATTCCTCCTGATGACCTCCATGCGTTTTTGTTTTTTGTGATAAGTATAATATCTCTTAGGTTGTGGTATTAGTTATTCACTTTCAGTATTCAGCCATGTCTCTGTGATTCCATATAAGTGGTAATCTTTAATGTGTGGTTCTATATAGTGAACCTTCTGTTTTCATGTCTATAGTTCCTTGTTTTGGTTTGTAGTTATATCTTAGACCAGCAGTGTTTCAATGACTAATTGTAATATAATTTGGTGTCATTGTATTATTGTACTTTTTATTTTATTTTTGTTATACTGTAATTAACAGGTTCTTTCAAATTGTATTTCAATGCTATGCCCTTTGTTGTATCGATCATATCCTTTGAGAGTATTTCTTTCTAAGGGCAGTACATATCTTTTTGTATACTGTACTCATTTTTGGTGTCTAGAGGATCACTTTTTTGTTGGTGAATATACATGTATTTGGAATGACTATGTGCTCTTTATGCAAGGAATTGTCTTGGTTCTCTTGTCTTGATTTCTTCTTGGTCTTCTTTCCAGTGGGTAAGACTTGTGGATTTTTGTATTTATGTTAGAGATGGAGCAATGAGTTCCTGTATCGATGTTAAGATATATTCCGTCTCTTTCTAACATGTTGGGTGTTATGTTATCCATTAAAATGAATGCTGCATCATGTGATTCTGTGTTTCTGATGTATCTGTTTATTGCGTTCATAGTGTTGAATGTTGATTTTCTCCAGTGTTGGCGAGAGAAGACTTGACATAAGAACACCTTTGTTCTTGGGTACTTTCCGTTTGTTTCTTCTAGTGATTCTTTCATTTCATTCTTTCTTGATTCAAGATCTGAGTCATTGTCGATATCATTTCCACCAACATTGACTGTAATACTTCTAAGATATGGAAAGTTGTTATCAGCGATGACTTCTCCAATGTTGGATATTACAGCACTGCTGTAGGTGAGTACCATTTGGTTCTTGGCGAGATATCTGTTTTGTATATATTTTGACTGTGAATCACTGATGAGTAAGTGTTCCACTTGTTCTGGGATTCGTTTTATTTTGGATGGTCGTGCATTACTCATGCCATTTGGTGTTGAATTTTCCCTGCTGACTTGGTTTACTTTTGGTGTATGAGAGTGTAGTCGTACTACGTCACTATATTTTTTGGAATCATCCTTCAGGTATTTGTTTCTTTTTGAAACCACCGTCCTTTGTTGTTTATTTACTGGTGTACAAGTAGATGTATTTATCTTCTCATGTCATAATTGTAGTTGTTATGGATAATTTAATGTCTTGTACTTCCTTCTTAGTTTGTTCTTGTGTATTTATTTTGTCACTTTGGAATTGTTGTAGTTGTTTTGTATATTTCTGCAGTTTTCCGTCTTTAAGTCGAGTGATCTTGATAGCTTTCCAGGCATTTTCTTCAATTCCTTATTTAATGACTGTTTTGTAGTTTTCAATATCTTTTCTTTACTTTGCAGCTGTTTAGGGACTGTATTTTTTTTTTTTTTTGCTATTTCACTTCCAATTTGTTCTTTGTTGGTGTCATTGGATATTTTCTTGAGAAACTATGATTATGACTTGTTGAGACCTTTGCATCCAGTTCAGTTATCATCATCATATATTATGTTTTTTTTACATCATTTCTATGATTGTTGTAGCATATTAGTATCATCTTTGTTGTAATCATGACTTGTTATTGATGTGTTTATGCTGACAGGAATTTTACTTGGTGTTTCTTCTCTTATCATTGATGTTGATGTGTGTTGATATCTGGGCTTGGTGCTTTGTGTTCTTGTTCCAATATTTGTTAATTGAGTTAGCGATCTTAGTCTGATTAGTTGTGATGCCATCATTCAGTTGATGTTTGTTGTCAGGATCAGTGGTTACCTCTTCAGATTCAGAGTCACCTGAACTAATATCTCTGTATCTTAAAGTTGTTGTGGTCTATCTTTTTAGCCGTTGTCTTGTTGTATCTGTTTCTTTATTGTTAATTTCTACTTCCAGTTGTAGTTGTTTCTGTATGTGTCTCATCACTATTAATCCTTCATTCATTAACCATTTGTGGTAGGAGTTTCTTTGTATCAGCAGTCTTCCATTTCTGTGAACCTTAATAGTTACAGTATGGCCATCTTGACTTGTTAAATGCAGTTGTTCAGTTTTTTCCTTCAGTTTAATTTCATATTGGTGTTGGTTCTCTGGGTACGCTTTCTTCAGCTTAACCAGATGTCAGTATAGTTCGTATTTGATATCAATGTAACTGATTGTTTGTTTTGACCTCCACATTGTTTTCTTGTAAGGCCAGACTTTTATTATCCCTTGTTTCACGAACCCGCCGAATGAACAGGAGCCGAAAATGAAATAAAAATAAAATTTTATTAAGTGCAAAAAAAAAAATATTTTTACCTTCATTTTTTTCCACCCGCCACATAACAATCCCAAATTGCATTTTCGTGGGAGTATCATGATCAAAGTACCAAAATCTCGCACAGGTGAGAAACAAGGTTATACATGGAATAACATTTTATTTCATTTCTTCTCTCCGATCAATGATCTCACTTACAATTCTTTGAGAATCACACAAATCTAATGGGAAAAAAGAATATGACAGAACCCCACACCCTGCCCATGGCTTTCGTTGCGTATGGAAGTTATTTTCATGAGTGATGCGGTGTATCCTGCGGCCATACTTTCATGAGCAAAGCGAGTGAAAGTACAGCAGAATACACCGCATCTCGTATTCGCATGTTCAAGCATCCATTTTGTTTTGTTTTTTGTACATTATAGGTCATACAATGCACATGTAACAGTTTTACAGAGTGTACAGATGATTAGGCTCAATTAGACTTGGAAGTTCTCTAGATGGTTTTCTTCTAAGCTGTTACCTTTAATGAATGTCTTCCATTGTCCTCCAGTTAATTTATTAGTGTAGCCTTGTAATGTACATGACAGCATGTAGTCTGAGTTAGAGAAATATACTCACTGTTATCACTATATATTCATGTAGCTGTAGAGCATAATTCTCACTGTAAAAGCTTCTAAAATCGGGTGAAATTTTAGCTTTTTAGTCTAGCTAAAACAATGAGACAGGCTGTATGTTTACATATATATAATATGTATGTCATGTCATTTGTGTCATGGGTGAAGCTGAACAGCTGGCTGTTGGTATATCCATCAACTCTGCATGGAGTGGTTACTTCTGATCTTATTACTACGAGGCTCTTGGTCTTGGCTTTTTCACCTAGGTGTTTCTATTTATATTGTATTGACCCACGCTATGAATGCCAACTTCTTTATTGCAGTTCTCCATACTAGTCGGTACCACAACCGATTATTTTTATGACTGGTGAAGTATGGTATTCCTCTAACTCTTCACAATGGTTCAAAGCAACAAAGTAGCAATACTATCTTAAATGTTTAACTCTCTTGTAAAGGGAAACATGAGCTGTGCCGCACTGTCCCATATAAGTTATGGGAACTATCAGGTTTGCTGAGGCTTTTTACTATGGCATAGCCTTTGATCATGTGCTGGTGGTAGGTCAATGGAACTCACACATTTGTTTCATACTACTTGAAAGATCCCTTTGACTGTACTGATATTCGCAGGGAAGGATCATCTCTCACAACTATTTGCTTGCAGCATTAACCTACATTGTGTTTGTATCTAATTTTTAAGACCATTTAAGAATTTGCAGGGCGCTTTTCCTCTGCTCTTTTGTTGGTCTTGATATATAATATTACTTTGGACAACCTTGTATATAGATTGTCTAGGTTAAATTATGACAACACCGATGCCATACATAAGGAGGCAAATGAGAATCTGCTGCTTGATCAACTGAACTATGTTATTTTGTACATGCACATATAACTTTATTCAATGTAAGAAATATATATTGCACTTTATTGCACTTCAGTAAAAAATCTACATTCCAGATTCTCAGTAAATGTAGTATAAATAAATCGTGATGGAATGTGATTTCCTATGTTGAGCAAAATGTTCACTTGTAATGGCCAAACACTGGTTTAAAAAAATCATTGGACATTGACTTGCTACTATCAATTATACCTTTCTGAATGCCTGAATTCCCACAAATGTGGGTCCCAACATATATGGCCCTGAAATAATGAGATATGTAGCCCACAAGTAGCTTACACATTGGAGTCTCCATCAGAAGCACCTTTATCTAACAATTCTGCTATCATCATCATATAGTTGAATTCTCTTAACCAACAACCACATGTACTCTCTCACTGATTGCCAGATAGTTGCATTTGTTTTCTCTCCAAATATCGTCTTCTTGCCTCTGCAATGGATGAATCAGTGTTACGTCTGCTTACCTTTAGAGCACTACTGACATCTACACAGTGGGAGAACAAAATAGATTGAAAAGTTAAAAATAGATTATATTTCATAAAACATTGAAATGTGTGATTATTTTAGATATACATACAGGAAAGTTGACATAATTAACGACCCCAAAACAGTAATATGGTTCTAAATAACTAACTAAAGGGTTTGAATGTATTTAATGAATAACCCATGAAAATATTTTAACATAGAATAACATATTGATCAGAACAAGTCATTGTCAATGACATAGTCCCTGTTCACATTACAGACATGAAATTTACATGACCTGATGTGTTTAAACTGGATTGGTCCAGGCATGTATCAAATATGGCTACATAGAACTGCATTCAATAAAACAAGATGACCACCAGTCAATCATTTACGATTTACGATGGTAACAAAAATGTATGTAGATTTGACTGATGTATGTGTGAAGTTTCAACTTGATAAGCCCAGGCATGTTGGATATATGAAACCGGGTCATTTTGAACTTGATCCGAAAAATACAAAGATGTTCATCAATGTCCTATTGTGTTCAACATATGTACCAAGTTTAAACCAAATCTGTTCACACACAACAGAGATCTGGTTCCTGATTGGTAAAAATATGTGATTTTTATGTATTTTTAGCATTAGAATGGCTGGTATTTGAAACAAATACATGTGCATATGTCCGATACAATGTCTGATTTATGTATGAAGTTAATCGGCCAAAGCATGAGTGAGATATAGCTGGATACAAATGAACATGCAAAAACACAGACACATACACCAATGTCTGAACGGGGACTGAATATTAGATTACATTATCTGCTGTACAAAAATGTATGTATAATATGTAATGCAAGGCATGAGCAGTGCTAATCAGAGACATTTTTTCTTACTTTCTGCGGTTAAATTCATTTCAATAGTATCATTTGTTTTTTCTGAGGTCTCTTTATTTATCATTTTCAAGCAACCGCTAAGTGCATAGACATCAAGTTCATGCAGTCTTGGCAGCAAATTTTTTACCCATTCATATCGGATCTGCAACAGAAAAGTATAGTTAAATTACCATACCAGCAA